AGAGCCTAACTTCCAATATTTGCTAACAATTCTTGTTAATATTTGTCAATTACTCAACCCAAATAATTCCAATAGACAAGAATCTACTTCCAAGAGACATATAGTTAAGTTCCCCGTATATATGAGGGGCATACAATATCATCAAATCCGTCATCTTCCATTTTCGATTTAGTTCCATTCATATTCATCTCCAAGTCAACATCATCTTGACCCTGAAAGACAAAAAGAGTACATCAGCACTTTTGAAGGAAATACTTAATTTCAAAACAAACATATGCACTAAAGTAGAAGCAAACTAATTGTCTGAAAAATGAAAAGTCAGCAGACCTCTTTCTGTAGCCTAAGTCGCTTAAGATAAGAAGATTGTTTCTTTCGGAACTCCATTGAAAGGTTCTGAAGATCAGTTGCGAGCAATCGCTGTAAGAAAATAAAGGAAGCTCTCAGAAAGTTACAAGATGAGGCATCAAGGGCTATGAAGTTGCAGTTGATGCGCTCCATGAGTCAGTACAGCAGTATAACTTCACGTGAGTAAAACTAAGACTTCTTATTGCAAAGATAGTAGACTGAGAAAGTAGTTTGAAACATATGAAACATGACATCAGATTCTATGAACACGAGTTATGGCGCGCAAACAAAATGATGGAGGAGGCATATTTAGTATCTCTAAAGTTAACTCCTACCTGAACATTTCTTCGAACATTTGAATCTTCTGAATGCTCACTTGAAGAGAGCATTTGCAACCTCTTTTCTGACTTTCTCAACAAATCCGTGATCTCATGGGTAAGAACCTCAATCACATGGTGGTCCTCTCTGCTATCTCCAAAAGATGGCATTAAAGCCTTCGAATGAGCCTTGCCTAGCTCCAACATTTTTGCCCGAGCACGTTGCATATTTACAGATATCTCTTCGGAGACATCCACCCAAGCAGGTGGTAAACCAACTGTCAATGCTCCTCTGCTGCTGGAAGCAAACAGAAGTAGTCAGAGGCAATCTGGTAATATGCAAACTAACTGATGTCCTGATCAACCAAACCATAGCAAATACAAGTTGAGGTTATGGAAATACCGCAAATTTAGGGGTGGCAATTAGCAAAAAGAGTTACATAATGAAAGTTGACAACATGGTAAAGCAAGTTGCCATTACACGTCAAGATAAACCATGGAGAATCACCAGTGCTTTAATTAAGCAACAGTCACGAAAAGGGAGATGCCATTCTCTTTTATGTTTTTGTGTGTGTGTGTCAGAAGAGGCAATATGTGTAGAGATTCTGGAGACAGTACGAAACATGTCAGAACCGGTTCTCCCAACCCCCATTCACCCCCAAAAAAAAAAATAACCATTGAAGGTCTCAGAACTGGTAGTCGCATGCAAATAGTTCTGGCAGGAATTCGGTTAGAGAGTCCAAGAATGTAATTGTTGCTTTGAACAACTTCCATGTTACATGGGCAATCATTGCTAAAAGAAAGATAAATATTAAAAGGACATCTGTACACCGATGCTACCTATCAATTTGCAGGCCCTCCAACCAATCAATAGGGAAAAAATAATAATCCTCTACACTACGGAATCTAAGAATGCGCCTTTTTTTCAACCTACAGTCTACAGTTTATGTTGTCTCAATTAACATGAACTAAACAATAAGATCAATTCACTATATTTTCTAACAGCCTATTCATCACTTCAGCCATGACCATCAATTAGTTTGCCGGCATGTATAACCTGTCAAAATTACATTTCCCCTAATTATAGGTATCATCTTCCATGGTCGTACTAACAAAAATTACAATGATACACTGTGTCCCTTAAGTTTTTTAATTTCAGATTGCACTTATATAATTCCCTTCTATTATCCACAATCATGATCCAACAGAACTATAACTGCTAACATTATTCAACCAAGAAACGCCTCAAGGTCATCTTCTCACATATACCAATGAATTCAATCAGCTTAACCAAGACCAAATCAAATAGAGAAGCAAAATAAGTTTTTTCTGGGTAAAAAGAGCTGTAAAACTAGTCAAATTCTGTGCTTCTCATAGCTCTAGGATCTCCCATGGCGTCTTAAGACTTCGTAACTGGATGTCAACACTTCTTTCGGATATCCACAATCATAATGCAACAACATCACCTTAAGCAGGAGCAATAGTATTCAATCAAGAAACGCCTCAAGATCACATCATCACATATCTCAATATGCCGGTCCGACAACACTATCCAAATTTATCTGAATTCACACCAGTTTAACTACTGTTCCACGATGTGAATGAGAAATAAACAAATTAATTATATGCACATCTCCCAAAGCTCCTCAAATTGCCACTGCCCATGATTTTACATCATTTTTACATAAAATGCAATCCTTGCTGATATCCTTCAATCAATAACACCGCAACTCATCTAATTTATATCAAACCCTAAACCGCCGAATTAACGAATTAAAATCTTAAATTTGAAAAAAAAAACTAGGGTTTAGGGAGAGGGAGGGCACCTGGATGGGCCGGGGTCGCTGTCTTCGGTACTGAGGGGAGCGTAAGCGCGGCGATCGGAGCGGAGAAACGGAGCGCTTGATACGGAGGGAGTCCCTGTACTTTCTGAAGAGTGGCGTTCGATTCCTCGTCGCCATTGTTTTTTTTTTTTTTATTAAGAAAGAGATTGAGGGGTTTTTGACTGGTTTCTGGGGGAGAGAACGAGGAAGGAGAGGTTGAGTGATTCGTTGAGAAGGAGTTGGGGGTTTCTTTTTGACTGCGGAGAAAATGGGAGATCGCGCGATCCTGGGCAAAGGTGCCCTTTGGTAGTGTTTTTGTCGTGCGCTCTCCTTGATTGCAACATGTACACTTTTTTTTTTAAATGAACAAAATGATGATTTCCTCCTTAATGATAAAACACTGGTTTTTTGTTTCTTCATAGTTTTTATTGGTTTATCTTTTTTTTCAAGCTAAAAATTATTTTTAAAACTATTTTCTTCTAAACCTTTTTACCCTTTTAACCCTTTTTATGAAGTAAAATTTTCATTTTTTTTAGATTGTAAAAAATATGAAAAATGATTAAAAAACAACATTGTGTCATTAATTTGTTACAATATGATCAAATTGAGCACATATATATATTTTATGAAGGAAAATAGACAAATTGATACATTCAAAGCACGACAGAATTTAATAAGTGAGTATCCATAGGTACTATAGTTCGATTTCTCCATGACACGAAAGCCCTACACTTTGTCCTCCTGGTAAAAGGCACGAAAGATCGATCACTCTTAGGCGCCCAAATGTTCCCTTTCGTCATAGGCGATATGATAAAGGAGAGCCGGTAGAAATAGGAAATACAGAAAGGAGGTGTCGTTTGGCAACGGGTTAAAGAGACGTTACCTCTTCTTAACCTGCCAAATACAAAAAATGTATAGAAAGGTTAAACTCTCCATAATTTACCAAACTTAAAAAATGCATAACGTTTAAGCTAACCCCTCTAAACTCTAAGGTACCGTTTGACAAAGGGTTAAGTGAGGGGTTAAGGAGACTTAACCCCTTCTTAAAATGTCAAACACAACAAATCTATATAATGGTTAAAGTGAGTTAACCCTCCATAATTTGCCAAACATAAAAAATATAGAAGGGTTAAGTTAACCCCTCTAGAGGGGTTAAGTTAACCCCTATAGAGGGGTTAAAATGAGTTAACCCCTCAAAATGAGGGGTTTACTAATACTCCTATGTAAATGGAATAAGAGTTAACCCTTCTAATTATAAAGAAAATAGTCAAAATCATTGTTATTCCCAAACACTAAAACTGATCATAAGGGCTAAAATAAAACTTATTTAACGGGTTAATAATTTAGTCATTCGGATTATCAAATGGGCTAAGTACATTAATCCTTCTCTTTAACCCCTCTTCATTAACCCTTTGCCAAACGGGGCCTAAAGGGATTAAAATGAGTTAACTCCTCAAACTAAGAGGTTTACTAATACTCCTATTCGGAAGGATTAAGAGTTATCCCCTCTATTTATAAAGAAAACAAGTCGAAATCCTCATTATTCCCAAAAACTAAACTTGATCGCAATGGCTAAAATAAAGCTTATTTAATGGGTTATTAATTTAGTTCTTTTGGTAATCGAATAAGCTAATTACGTTAATTATTCTTCTTGATCCCTTTTAACTCTTTATCAAATGGGGCGGGGACAACTTGATAGTTAGCCAATACTTTAAGAGAGAAATGATTATTTTGTCGTATCCTCTTTAATTTTTAATATAAAAAAAAAGCTGCATTAGTTATTATACACCCAACATAGAAAGTCTGTGATATATTTGGCATCACATTTTCTCCTAGACAACTAGTCAAAAATCTTGTTTTATCAATGAAGCACAAAATGTACTTCCATTTGACAACTTCATAACCTTGTCTTTACTATAATCTGGAGAGAGAATAGTATGAAAAACTGAAAATCTCTACAAGAACATCCTTTTTCAGAACCACCAAAAGAGATGCAAGATCTACACTGATACAGAAACCCATTTAATTAGAGGGATTACTTGCAATCAAAGACAATGAGGTATGTTTTAATCGCATCTAATACCCTGAGGGAATGGTGTAATCACAGCAGTACCTGTAAAGTCTGCTTATTATACACTTGGTGACGCTGAGATTACCAATTGCAGTGGAGCCCAAATGACAAACAACTCCCAAAAATATCAGTGCAACTACAATCAACAACTTGACCATACCATTGTGGAGGTCACCGCATAGTTACACCGGATTGGGATCCTCTCCTCATGAGAAGATCCCTAATATCTCCTCATAAGATCTTGGTCGTCGATTTATCCATAAAAAGCCATGATCTCCTGAGGAGTACGAGGAGGACAAAATCTTAGCCTTTCATGGATAAATCGACGGTCAAGATCTCCTCATGAGGAGATATTAGGAATCCCCATCCAGTTACACCATACCACAAGGTACCAGATCGTAATTAATCCTAACTAAAGCAATAAGATTCCCATTAGGTCGTAAATTGGCAAGTAGACATATTAAGCATAGATTTCGTTCAAATACCAGACCCAACACGAGTCACAATCGATGAACCAAAACATCAGAGAACCACACCACAGTAGCAGTAGCAGTTTTGTTCATAAATTAGGGCTACAAGTGTCTTACAGTGAACTAAGCATCCCACAAATTTTCTTGAATATTAACATCACATTACTCTCTTTATCAAGGCAGCAGCATATATAGCCATGATGAAGACCCTTTTCACCTCTGGTTCTCCCTCCGCCTCACATACCGAGTTCTATCGTTGTACCTAGGTCTATCTTGAGCTCTCTGAGGTGCCGGTTCAACCCTCCTCTGTCTCTCTGGAGATCTCTGAACAATCTCCCCATTGACAAATAATTCAGCTGCATATAATTAGGAATGTAAAAAAAGCATTGTCAGCATATTAAAAAATCCATTATAATAAAAGCTCATGTTGATCAATTCAATCACATTACCAGCATAATATATGATTCTTACAAATATAAAAGGCGGTTGTTAATCAACCACGTCTAGGCTTCAAATATCGTCAATGCTTGAAGGTTTCCTATGGCAAAAGCAAACCTTTCCAGCATGCTCATGCATCTGCAGAAATATTTTGACCTTGCACTGAAATACCCTCTAGCCAAAGGCAGGCAAAGCCCAACAAGAGGGTTAAAGATAGCTTGTCTTCCAATCATGTTTTCATGGTCGAATTTCGGAATAGGCATAAATGGGCCAACCTGGATCAAGCCTCAGTCTTGGCATAATATGAACCTTCCCTAAACTCAGCCTAGTAAGGGTGCACTACTACAATGAATAGTGGACGAATAACATATAGGTTTGTGTAACAAAGTTCGAGCATATTATCTGAAAGTGTAAGAAGACATGACACAACATAAGATGGCAAAATAGAGAAGGATTTTTAACTATCAAATGAAAGCTAGGTTTTCGGTGTGTCATTAGTGAGTGAGTGGCTGGGTGGGGTCACTGTTAAGCTATGATCAAGCGCCAAAGGACAGCAAAAGGAACTACCAAGCATGATACAAACACGGGAGTGGAACGGAAAAAGATGAAAAGCATCTAAAGTACTTACCACCATAATCCTTGTTCTCAGCATCAACATAAGAATCTGGGAGCACAAACAAAACACCTGGAAGACCTGTAACCATGTACGCACCCTGTTAGTCAATTACAAAATTCCAGTTGAAACAAAACGCATGTCATCTACTAGAACAAAGAAATTCATGCATATAAAAAGTCTTAAGGGCCTACATGGCAAACTCAATAAACCTGTTTTAGTAGAGACTAAATGAGTCTATGTGCTTGGCCCTAGTTTGGCATATAAAAAAATATTAAAGTAGTACTTTTGAGGCCCTTTTCTGCTCAATAAGTAGGCTAGAAATAAACCAGGTAACCCTTGGTCTAAAAGAGAATTTAGGGTAGAAATGGCTCCAACAAGTGCACATCAAAATATTAGCTAAACTACGTTTAAACTTGAACTAATTCAATATAGTCCAGTTTAGCCTAGCTTAGGCCAAGTGGAACTAGTTCCAAACTAATTTAGGTTATTTTCAAAGTTGCCAAACAGAGCCTAAAGTAAGCAACTACTCAAAAATTAAAACTAGAGTGTAAAATCAAGTATGGGGTCTACATAAGAAACCCACTTAAAAAATCCTGAGTGTCAATGTACTGCAAGTACGCGAAGCATATATTGAACTGAATAAGTGAAATTCAATTTACTAATGGCAGTCCAAATATTATGCACAAGAATAGTGATCATATAAAACCATATATTATGAGATATATAAACAGGCTGAGAAACCCAGTAACAATCTGATAGAGAACAAACATTTCCTGCAGACAGTAGTTTGGGGTTTGATAATTTGAAACAACACCTACCCTCAAGCTTGTTAGATGTCTCTTCATCGATCTCACATCCAAATCCAAAGTACCGCTCACAAGAGACATTGTAAATCTTCTTCTTTGCTTCCTCTTCACTGATTTGGAACAACGCAGGATTGGGCAAACACAATTAGATAAGGCGAAGAAGAACAATTATTATGAAAAAATAAAACATGCAATATCAAATTTGAAATTTAAGAAGACCGATATTAGATAATACATGTATGCATGCATGAGGATACGAGTGTGGCACTAAAATCCCCATGCCAACATAGACCTCCCAAAATAATATGTTGGAATAGCACAGGAAGAAAATCCAAGTCCGAAGAAACCATACAGAATAACCCTCAAATCTTAACTGAAATGCGGGGCGAAACTCTCTCTTAGATATTACATTCAAATACGCAAGTGAATGGAGAAAACCTTCTTTAGATAATTCTGGAATATAACACTCATTAAAAATATGATAATACATAAAAGAACAATCACACCCATCACAAGAGGATAGAACATCAAGCTAAACTGATCCAAAAAGAACATTATTATTTTTTATCTCAAAGCCAATCAAATGACATAAGGAATTTATAAAACGACACGATGTTACCAGGGAAATATATCTGACTCTTCACAAAATTTGATAAATGAAGCAGAAAAGGGCAAATGCTTATGCCTTTACTTTCGACCTCGGCCAAGATATTTCAACACAAACTGACCCAAACAAGGTACCTTTTACATTAAAAGGTCTAGCACCTTGAAATGTAACATAGCAACATAAGAAAAGAGGAGAGTGTTTTCCGTGAACCGGACCTTGCTCGGTTTTGATCTGCCACTTTTAGAATAAAACATAAAGCAGTGTGCTTTGTATACATCACAACCAGCAAAGAGAAAAAGAGAGGCTCTAAGCATGACAACATAAATGAAAGCTACACGGCACAATTGCAAAATTGTCGACTCTAGAGGAGCCAACAGAAACGAAAACACAGTAGTAAACATTTCAATAGTAGAGAAATAATAATAATAATAATAATAATAATAATAATAATAATAATAATAATAATAATCAACAAGGTTGTAGGGTTTTCTCACCTGCCGACGTGCCGACAGACCTTGAGCTAGGGTTTTGGATATAGCAATCGATCATCTTGCTGCTTAGTGGCCCCCCTCACCCACGGGCTCTTCCATAACAAATCAAGCCAGTGCCTCGTAATCGCACCCGGACACAGCGGCCGGCCTCTCCGTCGGCGGCCGATCGCTGTATCCCGATCCGCCGCCGCCGGACCTCATCGGAGACATGTACTCGAGTCGCCGGAGCGGCTGACTCGGCACCGGACCTGAGTGAACCGGGCGGCCGCAGCGGACGCGAGCGGCGAGGGCCAAGGCGGCGGCGGAGGAGGCAGAGGAGGGGGAGAGGAGAGGAGGCGAGGAATCGAGAGGAGAGAGAGAGGGAGCGAGAGATGGAGGTGAGCGCCATTGGGGAGAGTGAGAGATGAGGGAAACCCTAATCTGAGATTGGGTGAGGGTTTTAGAGAGAGAGAGAGAGAGAGAGAGAAAACCAGCTTTGGGAGTATTTTAAAGGTGAGATGAGGAGCGAGAGTGGGGAGATTTTTTTAATGACTCTCTGTCCAGCTGTTCAGAAATGGGCCTGTCCCTGTTTATGAGATATAATGCTCACAGCCTCTTCATTCATTGAGCCTTCACTCGTAAAGCCCAATTAGAAAACGCCGTTGCTCGTGGACAGACGGTACGAATAAAAAACATACGTCTATGACACTGCTCATGTAAGAGGTGCTGGAGCAGTAATAGTAATAATAATATGCACTTGAGCATACAATACAAATTATTTAATAGTATTATATGTTGGGAATATTAGCTGTTTAGACAATAACGAAAATCAGTTTAAGCAATTTAATAATTAACATATAAT